CTCATAGCCCCAAAAATATTTCTCCTTCAAGTATTTATCCAGTTTCCTTCTGAAAGTGACTGATGAATTTTCTTTCACTACTCCAGTAACGTACTAATTACAAAGAACACCAGTTCTTTACTGAGCTATTTTACCTCCACCAGGGTAGATGACAACATTCTATACACACAAAGGATAGGGTTTAAAAAAACTTGTCAGAATGTCCTAATGGCATCAATTTGTAAACAATGAATAGGAACAGAATAGTAGTTGATTGTGATGCTAACCCCAGCCCATTCTCTCTGAGGTAGCCTTCCACAATTCACTACCCACACACATTTTAGACATTGTACCTCATGGACACCAGCACTATGCAACTACATGGCAGGACAGCTTCAGAAGAGAAGCGACAGGGAAAACACAGAAAAATTACAAAAGAAATTTCAAAACACTTCAACTGTTTGCTGTAACAACCATGTGTTTACAGAGTAGCATCACTGCTACTGAGGACAGTTTGACAGAACGCAGTATGCAGAAGAATTTAGTTTCTTTCCATTTCCCATTTACCTTTTGAATCAGTTTGGTTTATTGCCTTCACCATATATTTTTCAGGCTTATTTAAAATGGGTGAAGAATGAAGGTGAAGAAGTGAAACTGCCTGGCTTGGATCTGACACACAAACAACTTTTCTTCCTTAACTTTGCACAGGTAAAATGGGCACAGTGTTTTAGTGCAGTGTCCAGAATGAGGCAGGAGGGTAAAGGGAGGGGAGATCCACTTTCACTATCATATGTAACATAACAAAATGAGGGGACTTTAAGAAAGGGCTTTTACCTTGGCCATTACTGCATTTCGAATATTGTAGAATGGGGAATAATGAGCTGATATTTCAATTTCTTGTGAAGTGCAATAATATGAATCTTATTAAGTAGGGCTCCAAGCATCTCAGCTAGATATGGGTTTCTCTTACCCAATCTGATTGACCCTAGAAACACAAAGGAAGGCCTGTACCAAATCCATTTCTAAGTCACTGATAATTTTGAGGGCAAAACAATCTGCTGTTGTGGCAACTTCACCAGTTGATAGTGAGGTGGGAGTTATACACCCATGATGTTGATTTTGTGCAGCCAGAGGTTCAGGCTCTGGACTCACTGTCAGTGAGCAACGTTCTCCACTTCCTCAATATCAGCACCAACTTGGAACATTATTCTTAATCCAGATAATATCTTATTGCCGTCCAATACTCAGATGTTCCACGTGCAATAACTTGTTAGTATAGCACATTGACCTCAATCCCTGCTTGACATAAAGCTATAATGAGGGTTGCAAGATATTTATTAATATAGTCAATTATATATCTCTGTGTACAAACTGCTACTTCATTTTCAGTCCCTGCTTAACAATTATTTACATCCTTCAGGTGTGGTGTGGGTCATACAGGCCTGAGTATGCCAGTCAATCAATTAAAACTGATGTTCACAGCCCACTGAAGTTCAGGTATGTAACTTCTATCCTTACAGAGCAATCGTGAGATTAATGCTAGGTATTGAAAATGAGACATAGAATTTAACCAATTTCTTTTCTTGACTATCTTTTACTTAGTTTATGCACATCACCTTATGGTGGAACTGAACATGTTTAATAGAATCATTGTCTGACTGAAAGAAGAATAGTATCTGTTTTCTTTCTTCCACCTTTCAAATGTAATCTCTGATCTCATACCTTTGTCTTTTTGTCGTCTTAATCCTGGGCCTGATTGAACTCACCTTAATAAATACCACAGGGCCACTCCCTCATTTAAAAGTGATGACTGCTAATGGTTTAACATAAGGGTCACCACACTTATTCATTTTTGAAGGATGTAGGTGTTGCTGGCTGGTCAGCATTTATTGCCCATTCCTAGTTGCCCTTGAGAAGGTGGTGGTGAGCTGCCTTCTTGAATAGCTGCAGTCCACCTGCTGTGGGTTGACCCCACAATGTCATTAGGGAGGGAATTCCAGGATATTTATCAAGCGACTGTGAGGGGAAGATGATATATTACCAAGTCAGGGTGGTGAGTACCTTGGAAGGGAACTTGCAGGTGGTGGTATTCCCATGTATCTGCTGCCCTCATTCTTCTAGATGGAAGTGGTCATGGGTTTGGAAGGTGCTGTCTGAGGATCTTTGGTGAATTTCTGCAGTGCATCTTATAGATAATACACACTGTTGCTACTGAGCTTCGGTGGTAGATGGAGTGGATGCTTGTGGATGTAGTATCAATCAAGTGGGCTGCGTTGTCCTGGATGGTGTCAAGCTTCTTGAATGTTGTTGGAGTATTCCGTCACACTCCTGACTCGTGCCTTGTCGATGATGGACAGGCTTTGGGGAGTCAGGAGGTGAGTTATTCACTGCAGTATTCCTAGCCTCTGACCTGCTGTGGTAGCCATGTGTTTACATGGCAAGTCGAGTTGAGTTTCTGTCCAATCCCAGGATGTTGATAGTGGGGGATTCAGTGATGGTAACACCATTGAATGTCAAGGGGCAGTGATTAGATTGTCACCTATTGGTGATGGTCATAGCCTGGCATTTGTGTGGCACGAATGTCACTTGCCACTTGTGAGCCCAAGACTGGATATTGTCCAGATCTTGTTGCATGTGAACATGGACTGCTTCAGTATCCGACGAGTCGCGATTGGTGTTGAACATGGTGCAATCATCGGTGAACATCCCCACTTCTGACCTTATGATGGAGGGAAGGTCATTGATGAAGCAGCTGAAGATGTTTGGGCCTAGGGCACTACCCTGAGGAACTCCTGCAGAGATGTCCTGGAGCTGAGATGACTGACCTCCAACAACCATGACCATCTTCCTATTTGCTAGATATGACTTCAACCAGCAGAGCGTTTGTCTCCTGATAGCCATTGATTCCAATTTTTCTAGGACTGCGTAGCCAGTGACACCCTCATCTCGTGATTGAATAAAGAAAAAAACAAGCAGGACAGATCACCGACACTTCACCGGAGGCGCACTGACAATGTTTCCTAGCAGGGTGACGAAACATTTACAACCAACCCATTGGCTCGGCAAGCATGTCTACAACCTCACTGGGCAGCTTTACTGAATGGGCAGTAATTGACCAAGATACAAATAGAGACTGGATACAGACTGCCTTGAGGTTAATCAGACCTTATGTTCACTAGGAATTCAACAGGAATATGAACTCTGTCCACTAGGAATTGTTTCCCTGTTCTGAAATATTTCACTTTAGGTTAAAGGGCAGGTTGCCTCTAAGAAGAGGGGTAACCTAACTAAGCAAAAACCAAAAGAACTGCAAATGCTGTAAATCAGAAACAAAAACTGAAATTGCTGGAAAAGCTGAGCAGATCTGGCAGCATCTGTGGAGAGTAATCAGATTTAATGTTTCGGGTCCAGTGATCCTTCCTCAGAACTAAAGGATTCTAGGTGCAAAATGTTAACTCTGATTTCTCTCCACAGATGCTGCCAGACCTTCCGAGCTTTTCCAGCAATTTCTGTTTTTATAACCTAACTAAGCACTTTCAAGTGATGAAGGGAGTTGATGAAGAATTTGATAGGACAGGCATAGTGTGGATATTTACACTTACGATTAGAATGTTAGCATTACATCAATACCTATTCATCTCTATTTATGGAAGTGTTAATAGACCTCCCTCACATGGCTGTTACAGCTGTGGTTCATTGCAGCAGTGTTCTTAGTCAGAAGGCTGTGGTTTCAAGTTCCATTTGAGACTGGAACACACATCTAGACTGATCTAGACACACATCTACTGTAGTGCTGAGAGAGTGTGATTGCTGAGAGATTGTTGGATGTGCCACCTTTCAGAAAGAGGTGAATAAACTCTGCGCACCCGGGTGGATGTAAAAAAGAATCTAGTACCCCTATTTCTAAGAGGAGCAGGAGAATTCTCCCAGTGCCCTAGCCAATATATATCCCTCAACAAGTATCAGTAAACCAGGTCAACTGGTCAATGATGTCGTTACTGTTTTTGGGAACTTGTTGTGCACAACTGCTTTATATATGTTACAAATAAGATGCAACACTTAAAAAGCACTTAATTGGCTGCAAAGTAATTTGAAACCTAAGACCATGTAAGATGCCAATAAATGCAAGCTCCGTCCTTTTCTTTCCCCCTTTGCAGAGTCATTGGTTCCCTCCAGAACTTTGAAGCTTTTGCTGAGGCCTTCCAGTGCAAAACAGGGAACGCGATGCACCCAGCCAAGAAATGCCGAGTATGGTAACCAAAGACGAACGGCACTGTTTGTTCAACCATCAAAACCTTCATTGACTTACCTGAACGCTGACAGAAGCCAATATACGTGCCTAATCCACTCTCTCCAATCAATCACAACCAAGGACATCGCTCTTGTTTTCTGCTGCTCCATGTGTGTACAAACAAAAAGGATAATTAGTGGGGAATTGGTTGTTAGACTGGTTAAGCAAGTCCTTTGAACACTGACTGTTATACCTAAATATGACTGTTAATGAATACTTGCATTCAGTAATAACATAAGGGTGCTTCAGCCTGCTAAGAATTGCTTGTACAAGAAGATACAGCAATGTGTTAGCGAGTTTGAATAGATTGCAAACTTTTATAATTTGGTTTAAAAATAGGGCAGAAGATACAGTGAGATTAACTGGGGCTATTGTTGCACACTGGCTCAGGTTTGTCCCAAGAGCAAGACTGAATGAATGTTCACTTTCTTCATGCCAAGGCTACAACTTGTTACAATGGTGTGTCCCAGTTGCTTATAACTGTTTCAAGTACTTTATTTCCCAAAGTACTCATAGCTCAAGGCGTATTGTGTGTTATTTCAATGTTAATATTTCGTAAGAGGAAACTTTCTCCAGTGCTGCTGTGCAATATAAATTTCAATAAGCGGTATTTGAAAATCTTTTATAATAGCATTCTGTTCAATGTGCTTTAGTTTAAGTATGAAGTCTTTTACCGGCTGCACCTTATTTGTAACATATTTAAATATATATAATCTATGATTTATACTGTATTGTTTATATTCAGAAAAAAAATCTGGCAAAATGTCTTTTATCACTCTATTTAATCTTGGTGCATTGTGTCAATTTTAATATATTCCTGTTCTGTCAGTATTTTCAAATAAATACCTTCTGGTTATGCTGTGTTGCTCTTTTTAGGAAAGAAGTTGAGCCAGATTAAAATGGGTTCCTGATGTCCTTAACTCTGTGCAAACAGGGAAAGTCTGTGAGTCAGGATTCTCCTCAGCGATGGTTTCAGTTTAACACAGTACGTGGACAGGGAGGAGTGAAGCATGTGCCAGCAAATCCACATCATCATCTCTTTCAATCCTAATCCATAAGTGGTTGACCATTAACTGCGATCACATTGTCTGAAAAGCTACTCAACTGTAACATGGGATGGTCTGTACATGTCAGCTTTACCAGCAATTCCCACATCCTGAGAATGAATTTTATAAATGTGGTGCCAGATTTCAGAAATACTCACCCAACTATGATCAGCCTTGTTTAAATGAGGCAATAATGAAAGGCCTGCAGTCTTTGGCATCTTTTCATTTTTATCACTTAGATGACACTGGATGCTGCAGTTGCCGGACTAGAAACAGTATCTAGTCCTATTAAGAGACCAACTAACAGATTAAACTAGTATTGGTAATCAGCATGCCTACAACAATTCAATAGCCTCCTACAACACATTGTCTGAGCTCCAATTGTGGTTAACATGCAAGGAGGGGAGGGCTTTTGTGGCGCAGTTATCTCTGAGCCAGGAGGCCTGGGTTCAAGTCCCACCTGCTCCAGAGGTGTGTAATGACATTTCTGAGCAGGCTGATTAGAAACTATCCACCATCAAAGAGAGGAGACCCATTCTATTGACTTACACATTTTCTGCAATCGCCATCTGTGTGAGCAATTTATCTTGTCTTTATTATAAATCCCTTCATTTTAGATTTTCTTTTCAAAAGTACAAATTGACATCTTTCTCAATTTGACTTTATATAACTATACTATTTCTGGCTGAGATCAACTATCTTGGTAAACCAGGATTTGACCTTCTAGGCCTTACAGACATTAATTGCACCAATCTGGACAGGGCAGTTAACACTTGAGATTTGTCAAAAAAAATCAGTGAGAATGATAGCCAATACTTACAGTGAACGTATCAGTAAGTTCATTGAAACAAAATCACTGTGGGCCACAAAGAAATTGCAACATTTCTCTTTCAGGGATGATGATAGATTTATGCACACATTTAAATTTTTAGAACATTGTATCCATTTTTTTGCATCTGTGGGAAAGGCATTTGTTTATTATCTTTTCCAACTGACACAACATTTCAAGAATTCTAGGGTTAGAATTGTTTCTCTCCGTGAGTGAGGGAGTTTGGTATTTTACACATACTTGACATTTTCTTTAAATCCTGCCTCTCCACCCACATAAAAAATGAGTACTTGAAATAAAATCCTTTTTGGTTACTTTTCTGTCCGTATGTGGTTTGAAAACATTCTGTTTTAAGTGGGGTAATTTAAAGATTGATTGATCCTGGGCAGGAGTATGAAATGTATGATAACAAATCAAATGTTGAAGAGAATGGAATCAGGGCAGGTAGATAAAGGTAAGGTCCAAATCATCCATAATCTTACTGAAAGATGAGATACTCCTGTTACAATGGAAAAAGAAAATTGGGTAGTGTGTAAAACAGCAATAATATACAGAGATTAAAAAAAACAAGAACCAAGGGTGCTGAAAATCAAAAGCAGAAACAGGAGAAAATCAGATCTGGCAGCAGCTATAGCGAGAAAAGCAGAGATAATGTTTGGAGTCCTGTGACCCTTCCTCAGAACACAGAACAGGTGTCTGTTTCAGGTTACACTTCAGTTGAATTATACCTCACTTCTTTCTTCACTGTTCACCAAATTTGACTTGAAGAAAATATTAATTAGATCATTTCTTATGCTCAGAATATTGATTAACACAGTAATGGCAAACGGACAACCAAGGATAAATAGTTAGGTCAAGTGATCCATCGTACACTTTTGTCTACAATTCCTAAATATTGCCAAGGATTAGTAAATGAGGGGTACACTTCGTATAGACTGCATCAAACGTGCCCTACTCAACCCATTATGCATAACTTCATTTAATGCATGATTCTATTCCAACAAATACAAATTACATGAGATAAAGGATTAAAGTCTGTCTCACTCACTTTTTAACCATCTTAGCAGTCACATGACACAATGGCAATAGAAATAGGGCTCCTGTGATGCAATGGTAGTGTCCCTACTTCTGAGCCAGGAGATTTGGCTTCAAGTCCCACCTGCTTCAGAGGTGTGTCATAGCATCTCTGAACAGGTTGATATGAAAAATATATATTGAAAAATCTACAATGGCAGTAGAGTTGTTGACCAATCACATTAATTAATCTCAATCAATCATTTTACAACCAATTCAGGCATGAGATTAGGCAACCCTCAGTGATGGAAAGTTTTGGAATCTGTAGTCCAAAGTCATCCGTTCTTACCAGTCCTACGTGACTGCTATTCAAGAACCCAGTCGCCAACCAAAATGAGTATGCCACTACCATCACATACTTCATCAGTTAATGTGTACAGGACTGCGTGCAAGGACATTAATCCGAGTGCTCTCCAACTGGAAATCATGAATGAACCAGGAGATCCATTCTCTACTGAATCCAGGTCTGAGGCATTCAAGTTGGGTGACCATGGCCTATACAGGAAATCTAGGCATGATCTTTGCAAAGCCATTTGGAATGCCAAGAAACGATACCAGATTAAACTAGGATGCCAGGCTAACCACATAAACACAGTTGATTTTGGCAAGCATACACAATAGAACAGGCTACATAGCGAAGTTGAGTAGAATCGCTGACAACAATGCATCCCTCCCTGAGGAGCCAATACATTCTACTCTTGTTTTGAACAGAAGGTCAGTGAAATGATGTCACCTGCCCTGACAGCTTCAGGAGCGCCTTTACCCACAGTCACTGGTGCAGACATCAGGTCGGTCTTCTTGAAAGTGAACCCATGGAAAGCATCTGGCCCAGATGGATTCCCTGGCTGTGGCCTCAGATTCTGTGCGGACCAGCTGGCTGGAGTATTCGCAGACATCTTTAATCTCTCCTTACTCCAATCTGAGGTTCCCACCTGCTTCAAGAAGACTACAATCATCCTGGTGCCAAAGAAAAATCAGGCAGTGTGCCTTAATGACTACGCCCAGTGGCTCTGACATCCATCATTATGAAGTGCTTTGAGAGGTTAGTAATGGCACACATCAATTCCGGCCTCCCAGATTGTCTTGATCCACTACAATTCACCGACTGTCACCATGGGTCCACAGAAGACACCATTTTCTTGGCCCTTCACTCATCCCTGGAACATCTGGATAACAAAGACACCTATGTCAGACTCCTATTTATTGACTTTAGCCCTGCCTTCAACACCATAATTCCATCCAAACTCATCTCCAAACTCTGAGACCTAGGACTTTGCTCCCCACCTCTGCAACTGGATCCTGAATTTCCTTACCCACAGACCGCAATCAGTAAGGAGAGGTGACAACACCTCCTCCACGATAATCCTCAACACCAATACCCTGCAAGGCTGTGTACTCATCCCCTTACTAAACTCCTTATACACTCACATGGCTGTGTGGCCAAATTCTGATCTAACTCCATTTACAAGTTTGCTGAATTCTCCACTGTGGTGGGTCAGATCTTAAATAACAATTAGTCAGAATGCAGGAGAGATAGACAGCTTAGTGGCATGGTGTAAAGACAACAATCTCTCCCTCAATGTCATTAAAATGGAGGGGCTGGTCATTGACTTCAGGAAGCTGAGTGGGAGACATGCCCCTGTCCAGTGCTGTGTTGGAGATGGCCAAGAGCTTCAAGTTTCTCGGAGTAAATATCACTAACAATCTGTCCTGGTCCAACCACATAGAAAGCACACCAATGCCTATACTTTCTCAGAAGACTAAAGAAATTTGGCATGTTCCACAATGATTCTTACCAACTTTTTTGATGCACTATTGAAAGCATCCTAATAGTTACATTACAGCTTGATTTGGCAACTGCTCTGCCTAAGACTGCGAGAAATTATAGAGTTGTGAACACAGCCCAGTCAGAGTTATAGAGTCATACAGCACGGAAACAGAACCTTTGGTCAATGCCAACCCTAATCCCAAACTAAACTAGTCCCACCTGCCAGTGCTTGGCCCATATCCCGACAAACCTTTCTTATTCGTGTATTTATCCAAATGTCTTTTAAACATTGTAACTGTACCTGCATCCAGTACTTCCTCTGGAAATTCATTAGGTTTCAGGTACATAATTCTTTGAAGTTTGTGACAGAGTAGTTCAGAAGGCATTTAGCACATTTACCTTTATTGCTCAGACCTTTGAGTATAGGAGTCGGGAAGTCATGTTGAGGTTGTACAGGACGTTGGTGAGGCCTCTTCTGGAGTATTGTATGCAGTTCTGGTCTCCCTGTTATAGGAAAGATATTATTAAACTGGACAGGGTTCAGAAAAGATTTATCAGGATGTTGCCAGGAATGGAAGGTTTGAGTTGTAGGGAGAGGCTGGATAGAATGAGAATGTTTTCACTGGAATGTAGGAGGTTGAGGGGTGAGCTTATAGAGGTTCTTAAAATTTTGAGGGGCATAGATAAGGTGAATAGCAGGCATCTTTTCCCTATGGTGGGAGATTTCGTGACTGGGGGCATATTGTTAAGTGGGAGGAAAAAGATTAAAATGGACATTAGGGGCAGCTCTTTACAAATGCAGTGATTCATCCATCACCCAAACGAGCCTTCCATTCAATGACTCCGTCAACACTTCCCGCTGTCTCGGGAAAGCAGCCAACATAATGATAGACCCCTCCCACCCTCTTCCATCGGGCAGAAGATACAAAAAAAAACACATACAAACAGATTCAAGAACAGATTCCCTGCTGTTATGAGACTTTTGAACAGACTTCTCATTTATCAGAGTTGATCTTTCTCTGCACCCTTTTCTGTAGCTGTAACACTATATTCTGCACTCTGTCTATCACCCTTTTGTTCTTATGTAAGGTTTGATTTGCCTGGTTAGCACGCAAAACAATACTTTTCACTGTATCTCAGTTCATGATCATAATAAACCAAATCAAAATAGGCTACACTCAGTAATGTCATATCTCAAACAGTCCACCCCAGTCCAACACCAGCACCTCCATATCATGTCTCAAACTACTCACAGACTGTATCCCAAAATGTTTCACTGACCCTAAGCTTGAGCATTCCTTCCACAAATCTTTCTGTCTCCATACCTCTCTTCCTTAAAACCTTAGCTTGTCGATCAAGACTTGGGGTGTTTGACGACTTTAAGGGCAGCATAAAATTGCTAGTTGTTGGTGGCTGTTGAAGTCATGGAGATGGTGAAACGTGTTTGATTTCTGAATCACTTGCCTGAAATGGAATCTATAGAAAGCTTGGAGCCCTGAGCAGAAACAGTCATTAGACTCCAGATTAAAATGGGCAGTAATTAGCAATAACCGTCTAGAGTTTCAGTACAGTGCAGGAAGTAGTCACACTGAGATTGCCTTTCACTGATATGTTTGAATTTTGTCTCAGAGGCTACAAAAGGTTTCTAAAGCAAGCGAGATAAACACATGGGATGTCTGAAGTGATCAGGTGCACAATCAGATTGCAGACATCTAATTAGCAGCACTTGGTGCTGGGCGAAAGCACAGCAAAACTTCTGACCCACTGCAGTCATCAAGCTGACAGCACTAATTGTGCATCTGTGTATTAGATAAGTGGGACAGCCAAAGATCAGTGGAGAAGCAGCAACAAATGGGGAAAACAATGCAGCCTATCTTCGCCTCGTCTTGCTTCAGCTCAGCCAAGAAAACCCAATGCACCATCCAATTGCAGCCTCCCTCTGGCCCATTTCTAACCTGCTGAAACACATCATTTGTGCAGATAATTTGTTAATCAACCATGAGGAAACTGGGATGAGGGTGGGGGAAATCATGCAAAGTGTTGGTTTCACATCTGTCTATTTCACTCCTCGCTGAAGTTGGAGGAGAGCAAAGGCAGGATCATAGAATCATAGAATCGCTACAGTGTGGAAGCAGGCCATTTGGTCTGTTGATTTCACACTGACCCTCTGAATGCCATTCTTCCCAGTCCCACCCGCCTACCCCACCCCTGTAATCCTGCATTGCCCATGGCTAACCCACCAAGCCTGCACACCCCTGGACGCTATGGGCAATTTAGTATGGCTAATGTAAAAATGCCTGATCCCATGGGTTCATTGCTGGATGAGGAAGGTCAAACTAAACCATCGATCCAGAGAGGTCCTAATGTCTGCTCAGTGCAGCACCCACTTTAAAAATAAACTTTCAGGAAATCCACCTGATAATTCAGCTGCCTGCCTCTGTGCAGTATTTGCATTCTTCTCATTTTCCTGGGCACAATATTCAAGGAGCAGTCAGACCAGAACACGTTTTTTAACGTAATGCTTTTCTCATTCCCATTTAGTTGTTTCAGCCTTAGTGTTCAAAGGAAGCACAAGGACCTTTGACAGCCCAAGGCAGTTTACAACCACCAAATTATTTCAAATACAGTAAATGCTGTTATCTAGCAGATCAACTCAATCACCATAGCTTAGAACACAAGGGATGCAATGATGGATTATAATTTAGAGGTCATGCATTTCCAAAAAAATGATGAAGGGGGATCCTTTAAATCCATGTTGATCATGAGGAGCTCCAAAGATTGGCAGTTCTCTCACAACATGGAGGTTGCTAGTCGTGTTGGGTCCCACAACCTCTTGCAGCTCATCTGTTTAACTGGTGCAAGCATCAGCACGCTAAAAGCAGCAAACAGAAAAAAAAAACCTACTCAGTGCCAATGCACACGGGGCTGGATTACAAATGAACAGAAAAATTATCAAAGGTGAAGGTCAAAGTATGAAATGGACAAAATTATGCTTGTGCTTTTTTCAAATCCCATGTTGTTATTACCCTTGCAGTCACAAACTAAACCTTAGCTGCATTGGTCACATTGGAAGCTCAGGTCAGACTATAACCCTGGCCTGTTTTTATTCATTTCGGTATATGGGCTTCACTGGCTGTACAAGCACTTATTGGCCATCCCCAATTGTCCTTGAGAAAGGGGCATTGAGCTGCTTTTTTGAACTACCATAGCCTGTTTGGCATAGGTACACTCAAAATGCTGCAAGTGGGGGTGTCCCAGGATTTTGACTCAGCAACAGTGAATCTACAACACCATGTTTCCAACTCAGGATGTGAGCGATTTGGAGAAGTTTCAGAGTCAGAGTCATACAGAACGGAAACAGACCCATCGGTCCAACCAGTCCATGCTGACCTTAATCCCAAACTAAACTATTGCCACCTGCCTGCTCTTGGCCCATATCCCTCCAAACCTTACCAATTCATGTGCTTATTCAAATGTCTTTTAAGCGTTGTAATTGTACCCACATCCGCCACTTTTCCTCAGGAAGTTCATTCCACATGTGAACCACTGCGTAAAAAATTGCCCCCATGTCTTTTTTAAATCTGTCTTCTCTCACCTTAAAAATGTACCCACTAGTCTTGAAATCCCCCATCCTAGGGATAAGATAACTGCCATTAACCCTATCTATACCAAGGTCTATAAGGTCGCCTCCCAACCTTCTTTGCTCAGTGGAAAATAAGGCCCAGCCTGTCTCTATAACTCAAATCTTTCATACTCGACAACATTCTGGTAAATCTCTTCCGAACCCGCTCCAGCTTAATAATATTCATCCTGTAACTGGGCGACCAGAACTGGACATAGTATTCCAGAACAGGGCTCATCAATGTCCTGTACAACCTCAACTTGACTTCCCAACTCCTGTACTCAAAGTTTTAAATTTGTAGGCTTGGGCCTGTAGGCGGCATTCTTAGCAAGTTTGAAGCAATAATGAGATCACTTGTTATTTTATTTTGTTCTGTTTTGGATAAAGAAAATAACAAAATCAACTGGCATCTGAACAAAGGTAAAGCCTTTTTGATATAGAAAACATTTTTGTGTTTTTTATGTCTGCATTTTATTCTAAATGTGTTTTCTTGGGTTGGAACTGTTCTTTCAGCGTCTTTCTCTGAAAGCTGGCCCTCTTGTAAACTTTTTTTTTCAAAGAGAGAATGGAATACCTGCTTCAGTATGGGTTTGTAACCTCTACTTTGATTGTAGCACTTTAATCTTGGCAACTTCAGCTCTGGATTCTGACAGAATGATGGATGACGACACTCAGGAAAAAGACTTTTCATTCCAGATATGCTACTGTCACATTTTCAGCTTTTAGTATCTAATTACTGCCACTAAGTTTTAGTGCCCACATACTGCCAGCATGATGCACTTTGTAATTTTATGTATATGCTAGTCCATATAGCACATAACATCAAGAGTCAGGTGTTTGTTTAGGTAGATACCTTTGGATTTGTTAACACTCTTTACACAGCTGCAATATCTGACTTACAAACAGTTTGGATTTTTGCTTACTGATTTTACTGTAATTACAAACCTATAGCTGACTGACTGAAGACATCACACTGATTCCATTACATAAACAGAGTGAATGAAAATGCAAAGTGGGTACCATTATACCAGAACATCACATACTACTTCAACTCTGTCTGGGCTGGAATCTAAGCTATTGTACAACACTGAATACAGTATGACAGTCTCCCACTTTAAGAAAAAGTTGAACCAGTTGCATTTCCAGCAACAATCCAGCAGCTGACCTAAAGATGACCCGATTAACTGAATTCAGGTTTTCAATTTACCATAGTGATAATTCCTACTCAATTATCACAGCTACTGTACTATATATTCAATAAAAGCTCCATCCTATCTGGATGTATGTATTTCCAGGAGGCTCAGTAATAGCAACCCTTGACAATCTTGCCTCCCTTAAGCCAAGGGCCTGACTGTCACCGCTCCTGTGAATAGTTAACTCGGGATAGATCTGTATGTTCATCTAAACCTTGCAGTGAATTGGCATTTGCTTTTTGATAATGTCTCTACGATGATACTGGACAATGAAGACAAATCATTTTTAGTTGTTTGTCCCACTGCAATGCACGATATCTGCTAAATACTTCATTTCAGATTGAGTGTAGATAATGAAAAAGTAGATCATTGATCCAGGGCTTGCCATAAAGAACACATACTTTTCTCTATACTGCTGTGCACAGTCCACACTGCAGAAATTCGTCCCGTGACTGATGTGCTCAATACTGCCATAGTGTCCACAGTTCTCACAGCAATTGATTCCATCCATGTTGGATGTCTCTTCTGCAATGAGTGAAGTTGCTATCATTGTCACGTTAAATTTCTGCCTGAAGTATTTAAAAGTGATGGTGCACACATGCATCTTGACCTTCTAGATAATGGTGGTGGTGGATTTTAGATACTGCCAAAGGAGTCTCGGTAATTTAATGCAGTGTATCATGTAGATAGTACACACTGCATATCCTGACCATCAGTGGTAAAGGAGCGAATGTTTATGGATGTGGTGCCCATCAAGCAGGTTACTTTGTCCTGGATGGTGTCAAGCTTCTTGAATGTTGTTGAAGCTGCACTCATCCAGGCAAGTGAGGAGTACTCCATCACACTCCTGACTTGTGTCTTGTAGATGGTGGGCAGACTTTGGAGAGTCAGGAGATGAGTTACTCACTGCAAGATTCCTAGCGTCTGACCTGCTCTCATAGCTGCAGTAATTATAAGGCTAGTCCAGTTCTGGTTCATGGTAACCTCTAGATATTGATAGTGGGGATTTCAATGATGGTCATGCTATTGAGTGTTAAGTGGAATGGATATGATGTGCTGAATGACCTCCTCCTTTGTTGTAATTTGTTTTTATGCTTCCAAAATCAATAGATTCAGACTTGATAGAAGAATGCTTTCACACTAATATGGCCGAAAAGGGAACCTTTCTAACTCAATGCTTTCTTCAACAAGAAAATACTATTGCCTCAAAGTCCATACCAAGGTTCTATTTCTCCTTGAATAATGTTGTGCATTTACATATCCTCTTCTATGACCATTGGATATGCCAAAATACGTTAGAGCTGATGAAATACTTTGGAAGTTGAGCCAATGTTGCAATATGGAAAATACGATAACCAATTTACACACAGCAAGCTCCACATATATGACCACATAATCCGTTTTTTTTTAAAGGTGTTGATTAAGGAATAGATCTTGGCAAGAGTATAACTCCACTGTTCTTCTTCAAAATAATGCCAAAGGATGTTTTATGTCCACCGACAAAAAATATGGAGGTGGCCTCACTTTAACATCTAAATCAGAACGATAGCATTTCTGACAAGTCAGCGTTTGCTCAGACTTCTTCTACACTCAATACGAGAATAGGATTTAAACCTAAAACCTTCTGCTTTGGAGGCAAGAGCGTGGCCACCCCGACACTCTGAAGCAAATCCAAGTTGATCTATGCCTCATTCTCCCAAATGTCAAGTGGCAAAGTTGGTAGACAGTCTGGCAGCAAGGACAGCCTGGGAGCAAATGCCTTATCCATGTTTCCTGAGCATAGTCTGTGTCTGTCACAGAAACAAAAATGTTCCTCAATACTGCTCTATGAAGTCAAAATGTTGTAGACATTAATTACCAACACAATAAAACCAACTGGCATCAACAGCCTTGCCCATTAACACCTAAAAAATAGTGGGTCAAATACAGTCACCAAGGAACAAGTCTGTGCATGTGGTGTACAAACATATGCACACATGAGTGTTTGCATTCATTCTTTTGTGCGTGGATTCATTTAATTAAAGCAGGAGGCCAAGGATTCACAAGCTGTACTCTACACATATCATTCAATTGAAAAATGATGCTATTTGCTGACAACATTAGATGAGTTAGTTCCTTCTTCAAGAGGGAAGTTAGTTTCTCACCTGTAGAACTTTCACCTCTTCAACCTCAACCTTGATTGAAATGTCCAAAATCAGGACTATGGTATTTAATGGAATACAGTCACCCAGAGAAACCTGGAGAAAATGAAGCAGGACCTTCTCCCCACCTGGCTCAGTTAGTAGTACTCAATTGCTATGCAACCCAGAATTTGAGCACATACCAGGCTGATATCCCCTCAGTACATTTACCAGAATGCGTGTTATATTGTCACAGATGCCATTTTACAATGCGAAATGTTTCTTAAGGAGAGAAAAGGGATATATATTCATACTTCACATGACAGCATCCAAAATGATTTCCAACCCAAATAAAGTATTTTTGAATTGTAGCTTAATTTCTGCATAGCAAGATTCCACAAACGACAAATCAGATATAAACTTAAAGAACTGTGGATGCTGGAAATCAGAAACAAAAACAGGAATTGCTGGAAAAGCAGGAAGGGCAACTGGACCCAAAACATTAACTCTGACTTCTCTCCACAGATGCCGCCAACCCTACTGAGCTCTTCCGGCAATTTCTGTTTCCGTAATAAATTAAATATTTTTAGTTCACTATTGTTTGAGCGTGGAATGTGAGTTAGCACAGTGGGAGATTGGCATAGTGCACCTCAAATGGTGTTTTTCCATTGATCTGAATAGGTACGTGACATATTATTTTAATATCTGATTCAATAAAAGCATCTCCAATGATTCAAGGAAGAAAGCTACATTTAACCCCGAGTCTGGATGGTATACTTCAGTTCTGAGATAGAGCCTGATCCTAGAATCTTCCAACCGAAACAAGTGTTATGACTGAGCTACAATGACAGTAGCTAAATTTCACTGCTGAATACCGAAACTAGCCCCAACTCAATATCACTGGCTGCTGTACTTACTCAGTCCCCTGTAGCAATTGATAGTTAGGTCCTGTGTTCTCTGATCAATCCCACAGCAGGAGTTGGCTAACAACACCACCTTGTGGCCAGAGACTTTCATTAATTTCACATAACTACCAATCGGATCAGATTGTCATATTTCACTATTTACTGGGAAGGTTTCAAACCCTATTTAAGACACTTGCTGATGAAGATCCTCTGTGAAACAATCTATAGCTCCTTCATAAAAATGTGATTAAATGTACATTTTTAAACATTGAAACATAGAAAATAGGAGCAGGAGTAGGCCATTCAGCCCTTGATCCTCCTCTGCCATTCAATGTGATCAGGGCAGATCATCCCCGGTGCTGGCTTTCTTCCCATACCCTTTGATTCCTTTCAAACTTTTAAAAAAGGTAACTAGGGATGGGTTTGGAGAAATGCTTTGTCATCAAAAAATGTTTAACACACATTTATACACCATTTCTGTACTCAACATACCCAAAGTGCATCACAGCCAATTAGTACTTGTGAAGTGAAGACCCTGTTGCAATGTATAGACTTGGGACAAACAATTTACTCACAGCAAGTTTAGCCAAATAGTAATCACCAGATCATCTACTTTAAAGATGTTGGCTTAGGGATAAATATTGGTTAGATCACCAGGGAGAACTTCCCCACTCTCATAGAATTCTGAAAGTGCAGAAAGAGGGCATTTGGTCCATCAAGTCTGCACTAATCCTCCAAACAACCTCTCCGTTCACCCACCCTACCCTACACCTGCATTTAACATGGCCAATCCACCTAATCTGCACATCTTTCAACTGTGGGAGGAAACCAGAGCAGAAACGGTGAGAATGTGCAAATTCCACACCAACAGGCACTGAAGGATTGGAATTGAACCCATGTCCCTGGTGCTGTGAGGCAGCAGTGCTAACCACTGAGCCACCATGCCACCCTCCTTCAAAATATTACTACAATATCTTAAATACACAGCTAGAAAGTAGCCAGGACGTTTGTCTACTGCCTCACCTGAAAAATGGCTAGAATGGGGTTTGAATCCACTTGGAATATTAAGTCACCTCTAATTAAAGCGGTTACTTCACTCAGTACACAGATAGCACGTAATGTTTTCCTTTACACTATTACTGAACCTTGCAGAAAGATTCTGAGGTGTGCATATATTTTTGCTGACAATAAGCATGCCTCCACTCCGCATCACATCGCCGGGGAAATTTCCTGAGATCACACCTTTATTTGCCTGAGGGTGAAAAAGGAACAGGCTTTTATTGTTTCTGAGGCAAGAACCTCCACTGCATTGTCTCAAGTCAGGGAGTGTGTCAGCATCACTGATAACCTTATCAAAAAGAAAGAAAAATTCCACTCCATTTAACTGACATTTCAGTCAGAAATCATGGAGAAGATGTGATTGTGATGTTTAAATTGGTAAAGGGATTTCATGAGATAAATACAAAAAAAAACTTCTATACTCCAATAGCAGAAATCAAAACCAAAGGGATGATACCTTAGAATAACAGTTATAACAAAATGAAAAGCATTTCTATTCACGTTAACTTCAGGGTAATCTGAAACTCTCTTCCTAAAAACACATGGATATTTGGAGTAATCAATTGACATTTTTTAAAAGATTTGTTTTATAGGGTGAAGGTATTTTGGGCATAGAGTCATACACACCCTTCGGTCCAACTCGGCCATGCCAACCAGATATCTTAAATTAATCTAATTCCATTTTTCAACATTTGGCCCATATCCCTCTAAACCCTTCCTATTCTAATCCGGATACCCTTTAAATGCTGCAATTGTACCCGCCTCACAACTTCATCTGGCAACTCATTCCATACACGCACCACCTTCTGCATGAAAAAGTGAACCCTCAGGTCCTTTTCAAATCTTTCTCCTCTCACCGTAAACCTATGCCCTCTAGTTTTGGACTCCCTTACCCTGGGTAAAAGGATTAAAGGCTAAGAAAGGGTGTTGAGCTACAGATCAATCATCATTTGATTGAATGTCAGAACAAGCTTGAAGGGCTGAATGATCTCCATGTGTTCTTACATTTCCATGAAGAAAGAGGTCAGAAGTATTTCAGAACTAGTCATTAAACACAGCACAGAGCTATAAGGACAATTTGTTGGTACTCGTTATAGTGGCTCTGTCTGCAGGCTGCCTGGTTGAGTGCCTCTTTATACTTTTGCAATGGCTTTCTGTATTCAGTGGGCCAAGCTGCAAATGTAACCAAATCAATGATCCCATTCTATCCTATGCTATTCTATCCTATCCTAAATTGTGCTGTCATTGAGAAAATATGGTGAAGATAGATTTTGACTCTAGGCCTGGAATCTGCCAGTGGGAAACCCAGTTCTTTAAGGGTTAAATCCCATTTCCTTACACAGCTCACCAGCTGTGGGATCCTAATGGATGGCACCAGGAGGCAGATGGCCCAGTTTTAGTAGGGGTGGATAGTGGAGGAATGGGTAACCCAGGATGCCAGTTGCACACTTTAGAGCCTGAGGAAGTCCCATTCTTTTTGCCATCCCAAGAATAGTTACTCACTAAGATATTAGCTGACTCTTCCTCTTTACCAGCCAGTTCAAATGGACAGAGTCTGCTGTCATGACTCATGTAAGAGGACTGCAACCATAATCAAATTCACTATTCTGCAACCAGCCACAAATGTGTAACTACCCACTTAACTCATTGAGATGATCAAGTTTCCTGATGGAGTGCCTCAGGGCAACAGTAATTCATATCAGGTACATCATGAACAGAAAAATAACCATTTATTATAAACAAACATTCTTTAACAAATGGCAAACAAAAATTGATTTCTCATGATTATGATGCAACTTCAGCAATACCCTGTTAAAAACTCCAAACTCACACATTCATTCATTCACAAATCAGATAAACAAAAAATTGATGGTTTAACAAGTATTGTGAGGAAAAGTACAGACAAGGAAAAACAAATTCTGCAGTTCCAAAGACCACAAGGGTGCAAGGAGTTGTTTCTCACAGTTCTTTTGATTACTTTTTTTAAGTGATGGCAGCACAATGTTTTCTGTGGAGCGTTGATTTATCTTTGATTCAATTACTGTCTTTTCTTGTCGTAGAAAGCTTTCTTTCAGTGTCTCTGCATTTTTGTCTCTTTCATGCACAGATAGATTATGAGACTTGCTATTTGTTTGCAAGTTTCTAGATGTCTGAGTGCACTCTATAACAAACTACAACTGGACCAATCCAGCAGCTACCACTAGGCAGCTTTCATTAACTCAAAGACTCCTGGTGCTACTCCATCTCAACGTGTCCACCTCACTGCTCTAAATAGTTTCAACCCAGTGCAGCTCAAGTATACACCATTCTTCAAGTTGCAAAAACTCTCCTGGTACTTTTCACTATATAGCAGTCTGACTTGCGTTTTCCATGTTATTGTCCAAAAGGAAACAAAATGTGGTCCTTTACATTATACTGTGCATGTTCAGCGACCTTAACCTTCAACAATTCATCAGTGATCCATGTTTGACATGAGATTCTCATTTGCACATAGTAGTACGAGTCCCATCTGATTTAGAACAGCATTTGGGTCACACAGTGGATAGAGAGGCAGAAAGGGGCAAAAGGCAAGAAGAGGTACAAAGTAATTTTAAGTCAATCTGCCCCATTTCAACCCTGAGAGGGCAAGTTAAATCTGTGCCTACTTTGCCAATGTGTCGACAAGTACTGAACTCTGGTATGAAAAGCAATGGTCTCCAAATTGCCTGTTTGGAAAGCTGTGTATTCTAGTGTTACTGTAATGTAGTGGCTACGTCTTGGACTTCTAATCTAGATAATGCAAGTTCAAAACCCACTACAATGGATCGAGAACTGGCCAAAGAATCAAAGAATTCTGGATTTGAAAATGATCGACATGCTTCTAGACTATAATAAGAATCCAATTAACTAAAATCCTTGAAGGAAGGAAGTCTGTTGTTCTTATACTGTCTGGTCTATACACAACTCCAGTTCCACTATTATGGGCAATTCTTAGCTGACCTTTGAAGTAGCATAGCAAATCATTACAAACTATGGTAGTTGAAGAAGTTCTCTTAGCACCTTCTTAGGGAAACTAAGGACAGGAAATAAATGTTGCCCTTGCTTGCAATGCCAACATTCAAGGAGTTAATTAAAAAGACATAACCAAACTGTGCATATACAATTTAATACAATATGTTCATACAGGGAGTTGTTGTCCATATTGATATTTGATTTGTTACTTTGGGTTCTCAGCATTAAAAATGTAAAACCCACTTAGTTCAGATCATACATCATGTTGAAGTTGTACAGGACATTTGTGAGGCCTCTTGTGGAGTCCAGTTTCCAGTTCCTGTTATAGGAAGGATATCATTAAACTGGAGGGGGTTCAGAAAAGATTTACCAGAATGTTGCCAGGAATAGAGGGTTTGGGATATAAAATTAGGCTGGAAAGACTGGGACTTTTTTTACTGAAGCGTTGAGAGATGGCCTTATTGAGGTTTATAAAATCATGAGGGGCATAGATAAGTTGAATGACAAGGGTCTTTTCCCTAGGGTGAGGAGTTCAAAACTGGGGGACATATTTTTAAGGTGAGAGGAGAAAGAAGGTGGTTCATGTGTGGAATGAACTGCCAGAGAAAGTGGTGGATGCAGGTATATTTACAACATTTAAAAGACATTCAGATAAGTTCATGAGTAGGGAAGGTTGGGATCGATAAGGGCCAAATGCAAGCAGCGGGGACTAGTTTAGTGTTGGAACATGGTTGGCATGGACTGGTTAGACCAAAGAGTCTGTTTCTATGCTGTATGACTCCATGACTCTATTAGTCTATTTGGCATCCATTTGAAGAAATGCTTTTTTTATGAGTTGTTTGGATTCAAAGTTCTGTGCAACAGAATCTTTAAATAGAAAGCAAAGACCCAGACAGAGTGAATGATCTCCTTAACTTTAGCCCAGAACAGAAAATGACTTTCTTTTCAGGATGAAAATGCACGTGCAATGTTAAAGTAGATGGCTTAGCCAGGCTGGGTGGAGGAAAAGAAAAATTAATCTGGTTGGTTATAACGTTGTGAGAATTAATGCGTTATTTTTTACAGTCAATTGCCAAAACCTCTTTTAGACCTTGCAAAACCAATCAGTACAAGTACTAAGACTGACTGTGGAGGGCAGTAATTAAGGAGTGAGAAGAAAAAGTGTCCATCCCGATCAGCGTAAGACAATAAGAAGCTAAGTGAAGGACTAACAAACATTTCCTCAAACATTCCAATTCAAAATCACTGAGTATTAATCATGATTGGATGACACACACAAACTTCAGTGTGTCAGGACTAAATAACACAACTAAGTTCGGTATGTGTAATAGGTCAAAGCGGCAACTCCACCAAAGCTACCATTGAATCATTTTGACATCTTCTGGTGAACTCACATCAGCACTGAAAATTGGCTGCTGGAATGGACAGCTCCACTGGCCCCATCCATCTCCACATTGCTGAAATAATCAATCAATGTTCAGTTGATGCATTGGCTGATTATTTGGATAGAAGTAATGTACAAAGGTATGGGGGTAAAGCAGGAGCTTGGCTCCAGACAATGATGCTCATTTGAACCTTGATAGAACAAATGGACTGTCTGTACCATAACAATTCTGTGAACAGATCTCTCTCTCTCTCACACTCACACACACACGCTCACACACACACAAACGCTCACACACATGCACACTCACACACACATGTTCACTCATACACACCACACACACACACACACACACGCACACATGTGCGCATGCGTGCACGTGTGCGCATACACACAAAGACATATGCATACACATTCCTTTCTCAACAAAAGAACAACTCATTCTCTCCTCCAAAGATGAACCGAGCCATTAACCTTTAACCCAGAGAGGAGTATTTCATTCCTCAATCAATGAGGAGGAAAGATACCCTTGACACCATGCTGAGAAATAGTTCTTGCCTCTTCCATTCCTTAACCACAGACACCTCAGGACCATCCTCAATCTGAATGGAAATTACCTCTCAGTAATAACACCTTCACAAGAAGAAAAATTTTGTTGCCCAATCTCTTCCCCATGGAGATGGTGTTAGGCGCTGGAATTCTCTACTGCAATAAAGCTGTAGCAATGTTCTGGCATGTCAGTGTGTAGGAGCCACCGATCACTACCTCCAGCTGTTGTCTATTGCACTGTTTCTTTGCACAGAATGTGCAGGACAGGTATTTTCTCTCGAGGTCAGTGATTGGCAGTACCCTCTTTCTCTATAAGGGTTCAATGGGAAGCACTGGAGTGCCAACATCTGACCACAACCCAATCATCAACATTTCACTCATAAATCCATTGCATAATCGTATTTGATTGGTGACTTCAGATCCCTCACCTCTTCAGAGATTTGATCTCCTGCTTATCTTTTAAAACTCAGGCCTTTGTAATGTTGCTTCTTCTTATTAATATACAGATCTATAGAAAGGTAGAACTAAAGATGTTCAGACACAATAATTCGGACTGACATTTGATTACCAAACAGCAATGTCTATTTTGACCCACATTACACAGGATATAGAAAATGAGAAAATCAAGAAAATATGGAAAAAGAGAGCTTTGATTTGAGACTACTAATTATTTGGCCAAGAATTTTCAGGTGAATTTAATTTTGTTGTGTTGAGATGAAACTCTGAGAAGCATATATGTTATTCCAGATATTTATTCAAATCTTTAACTGGGATCTATTGGGTACCTGACTGGCCTACAATATAATCAGTTTCTTCTCGTTTATTTGATCAAAATCTTTCCTAATTCAGGACAACTGATAAGTCTGGTTTTATAATCTACAACGTCCATATTTTCTTTGGAACTTATCGCCTTTGAGATATTGTCCCTTGGTGAAGTAATTCATTCCCAGTTCCGCTGGTCCGACACAAGTCAAGAGAATATAATTTTGCACTAAGACCTCCTGCAGTTTGTTATCTCCATTGTAGTCCAGCGATGCACTTAGCATCCAAATCTCCTCAGGAAAAGGATCACCAAGGTATCCTCCTGCTACAGGGACCTCAGTTCCACATCTACTCAAAGGTACAAAGTGCAAACATATCTCACAAGATTCATCCTTTTCTTATGGGTAGGGAAGTTTAAGGGGAGGGGATATTGAATACAGATGTTGTACAATGTGCAGAGTTCAAGAGGACATCGTTACACCTTCTTATAATAGCTGGGAATAGGCTACAATTGCTGGTCTTGCCAATGGCACCACATCTAGCAAGCCTATAAGACTAGTCCATTAAACAACTAGATTAGAGTTAGTCATTAAGAAGAGTAGTTTTCACCTATTAACATGAAGCTGCTTTTCTTTTTGCCTGCTATATTAAAGACTCCATGTCATAGTGTGGGTCAGCAGTTTCAGCAGATCAAGTGGCCACTCTTTTCATTGCTACTGAAGAGAGCAGTGATTTTTTTTTGGGTAAAGCCAGTGAGAAACAGCATAACCAAAACTATCAGGACTTTGGTTTTCCTCAATCCACACGAAATGTCCAGTTTTAATTTCAGCCACTTATTTTTGGCCCCTGTCTGTGAACAACAAGGCAGAGCTGACCTAGAAGCATCTGATTTGCCTACATGAAAGAAAAGTGAGGATGAGAAGTGAAATAGTTCCTTTAAAGTTTTCAAGAAAATTTGTAGTTCGGGTTGTGGATGAGGTTATAGACATGCTCGCCGAGCCAGTGGGTTTGATTGTAACTGTTTCATTAAGTTGCTAGGTAACATCATCAGTGTGCCCCCGGTGAAGCGTCCGTGTTCTGTCCCACTTGTTATTTATATGCCTCGGTTTGCTGGGGTGGTTGTTATTGCTTCCGGTTCTATTTCTCAGTGGTTTTATACACAGGGTTTAATTCAATGTGTTTGTTAATGGAGTTCCAGTTGGAATGCCAGGCCTCCAGGAATTCCCTGGGATGTCTCTGTCTGGCTTGTGCTATTATGGATGTGTTGTCCCAGTCGAATTTGTGTCCCTTTTTGCCGTGTTTTCACATGATGCAATAGTTCCTGTTTAAAAACATGAACATATGGTGTGATGATAGTATCCCTACCTCTGAGCCTGGTGACCAGGGTTCCTGTCCCAACTGCTCCAGACGTGGGTAATAATATCTCCAAATGGGTTGATTAAAATTATCTATAACTCTTCATTCATCCAGTGGACTAACAAGACCAATCCTTCCATTTCTAAACTAATTGATCTGTTCGTTTGGCTTTCAGAATTATTGTTTTACCTTCAGTCTTGTTAAAGAATCCATATGTGTAAAAGCAAGCCATTCAGCCCATACTGACCCTCTGAAGAGCATCCAACCAGACCCACCCCCTACCCTATTCCTGTAACAAGGTGTCTGATAATCTCTCTGCTGTTTTCAGTGGATGAAAAATTCAAGCCCATTTCTCAATACATACACCCGACGGGTGGGGCTTCAGGAGGTGAAATTTATTTGAAAAATTGATCTTTTCACATCCCAGTGTTCACAACTTCCTCTATACATATTCCGTGCATTAACCAGGCATTCCAAGAAATAAAATCTGCCCACTGAACAGGCTGTCTATCCTCATTAGCTATCCTAATCATCTATAGATTTTTGTTGCCTTGATTTGACCAAACGCAGTGAGGTAAACAAGTATAAACCTGTACGTGATAGATGTTTCCAATCAATCACTGTACAGATCATGAGCAGGAGTAGACAGCTTGGCCCTTTGACTCTGTTCTGACATTCAATAAGATCATGGCTGGTCTGATTACTTCACAAATATTTTCTCAACATCGGCCCCTGCTTTGCTTATCAAGAGTCGATCCACATCTATCTTAAAAATATTCAAGGACTCTGCTTCCCTACCGTTTTGAGGCAGACAGTTCCAAAGGTTCATGGCCCTATTGAGAAAATCTCCTTATCTCTGTCTTAAATAAGTGACACTTCTTTTTTTTTGACTAAATTCTCCCACAAGTGGGAACATCCTTTACAGATACACCCCATTATGATCCCTCAGCGTCTTGTATGTTTCAATCAAGTTGTCTCTTACTCTTTTCTAAACTCCAGTGGATACAAGCCAGCCTTGTCCAACCTTTCCTGATAGGACTACCTGCTTTTTTCAGGTATTAGTCGAGTATACAGGCAGGCTGTTATTGGAGGGGTGCCACAAAGGTCATCACTAAGTTCACAAATTTTGCAATCGAAAGAAATAATTTGAAGGCGTGAACCAATTGTACTATTCCCAAATTACTGATACACCAGACTGGGTTGGCTTGTAAATTGTATGGAGGATGAATGAGACTTCAAAAGGACTTGGACGAGCCCCAGGTGAATGGGCTAGAATTTGGCAGATGGATTATAATCTGAATGAATTACTTTTTTTATTCATTCACGGGATGAGGGCATCGCTGGTTAGGCAGCATTTATTGCCCATCCCTAATTGCCCAGAGGGCAGTTAAGAGTCAACCACATTGCTGTGGGTCTGAAGTCACATGTAGGCCAGACCAGGTAAGGATGGCAGTTTCATTCCCTAAAGGACATTAGTGAACCAGATGGGTTTTTCCAACAATCGGCAATGGATTCACGATCATCATTCGACTGTTAATTCCAGATATTTATTGAATTCAAATTCCACCATCTGCCATGGCGAGATTCTAACCTGGGTCCCCTGAATGTTGTCTGGGTGTCTGGATTAACAGTCCAGCGATAATACCATGAGGCCATCACCACGCACTTCGGTAGGGAAAAACAGAGGGGCAAAATATTTCTTAAATGGTGAGAGGTCGAGAACTCTGGCTAACCAAAGCGACCGTAAACCACAGAGTCATACAGTATGGGAACAAACCTTTTGGTCCAACTTGTCCATACCAACCCTAACCCAAACTAAACTAGTCCCATCTGCCTGTGCTTGGCCCATATCCCTCCAAACATTTCTTATTTATGTATTTATCCAAATGCCTTTTAAACTTTGTAACTGTACTCCAGCATTTCCTCTGGAAGTTCATTCCACATGCGAAATACCCTTTGTGTCAAAACATTGCGTCTCTTTTTTAAATCTTCCTCCTCTTATCTTAATAATATGCCCCCTTGTCTTGAAATTCCCAAACCTGGGGAAAAGACACCTGACATTCACCTTACCTACACCCCTCATGATTTTATGAACCGTAAAGTGACCCCTCAACCTCCAATGCTCCAGTGAAAAAAGTTCCAGCCTTTTCAGCCTCTCCTTATAACTCAAACCCTGGATTGCTTTCTGATAATCCTCAACTCCACATTCCCACCCTATCGCAATCTTCAGTTCTGTTACTGAATAAAAATGTCTATCTCAACTTTTAATATACTTAACAGCACAGTCTCTACAGCATCCTGCAGTAAAGATTCACCTCTCTCAGAGGATACATTCATCATTTGTCTTTGAACAGGTCACCCCTCACTCAGATTAAGGTCTCTGGTCTTTGACCATGATTCACTAAAAATAACATGCAGCTGCACCAAGCAATTAGGAATGCAAATAGTATGTTGGCATCAATTTCAAGGAGATTTGCGTATAGGACTAAAAACATTTTGCTCCAATTGTATTGCGCTTTGCTGAGACTGGACCTGGAGTATTAAGTTTTGGTCACTTTACTGAAGGAGGGATATATATTCCTTTGAAGCAGTTCAGTAGAGGTTCCCCAAATTAATTCCTGGGGTGAAAGGATTAACCTTTGAGGAGAGATTGAGGAAATTATGTCTGTATTTCTTTCAGTTTGGAACAATGAGAGGTAATTGCTTGAAACACATAAAATTCCCACACAATGTGACAGGGTGGGTGTGGATCCAATGCTTCCACTGGTGAGTGATTCTTGATCTAGTGGACATTGTCTCAGGGTAAGGGGTAGGCCATTTAACATGGAGATGTAAAGGAAGTTCTTACTCCGAATGTGGCAAGTCTTTGGAATTCTATATCCCAAAGGACACCCAACATGTTTAAGAAAGAAATCAATAGGTTTCTGGAAACTAATGACATTAGGCGCTATGGAGTTTGTTTGAGAAAATGGTGTTGAAATCAAAGATCAGCCATAATCTAACTGAAGTTAGTACACAGGTGCAGCAGGTAATCAGGAAGGCTACTGGAATATTAGCCCTTATTTCAAGGGGCTTGGAGTATAAGATTAGGGAAATGTTACTACAACCATACAAGGTGCTGGTGAGACCACATCTCAGGGTCTTTGTGTTTTTTTAAGGTTAGGTTAGATTCCTGATTATTAGGGGAATTAAGGGATATAGGGAAAGGGCAGGAAAATAGACATGAGGAATGTTAGATCAGCCATGATCCTATTGAATGGTGGAGCAGGCTCCAGGGGCCTAACAGACTACACCTATTTGTATGTTGCTAAGAAGTTTTGTTGTTGCAGAGATTCACCTGTTGAAGCTAATATTTATAATCGGACAGACTTCAAATGCCTCATATCATTCAACTAAAATGCAGAATTCTTCCCGTTATAACATTAGACCTTTACACTGACTGTCTGTATTAATGCTCATCCTCCCTGTGATCCTCCTTTATAATGTCAACATGAACATTTTAACTTCATGTTAGGGTTGGTTTCTACCACTGCCATATGAGCAAGTTCTAAACCTTTGCATCACTCTGAGCTGTGTGATCACTGTTGTTTTCTTCAGATAAGTTACTTCAAACAGCCTGTTTTATCCTCAAGTGATATTTACCACATTTTAGATATACATTGACAGTATTTATAATTGGACCACTTTCCCAGTATTATCACTGCCCTAAAGTGGTTTGGATTTCCATTAGCAGATTGAGGTGTAGAAATTGCTGTGTGTTTTGCTTGCTTTTCGAGTGCAAAACAGGCACAAACATGTTAATTTAGCAGTGGGAGAACCTACGCACAATATGCTGAAGTGCATGCACTGTTAAATTTGTGGGACCCATTTTTAGACCCCCCCAGTAGAATATGTTACACATTAAGTCTGCTTCGTTAGCTAGTTAGGGACCAGTTCCACCAGTTTCACCCTCAACACAAATGTTTATTCAGTGAAGTTGTCAGATAACGAACACTATCATGGAATAATGTTTTAGTCATTGGATGTGCTTTCAAAGTTTTAGAAGTTTCAACGAGAAAGGAACATGGAGCCTTTGATGGTTTTCTAGTCTCAGGAGCTTATTGTATTGTATTGCTTTTTTATGTCTTAAGAGTCAGTATGTATAGCATTATGCAATTTATGACTGATATGTTTCTTGGATCCTGTATTTGCAGTACTACAGCTCATATTCAATGATCATAAAAGAACAATTGATTTATTATTGCATTGTAACAGTCCTTAAAACATCGGATTGAGCCACTGCATGCTACTGAAGTGCATGCTTGATGTTGGATAGGTTCACACCCACTCGCAGTCAATGGATCTAAAGGCCATGGTGTAATTCGCCTAATCTTGCCCAATAACTAGTTATTAACAATGGCTCAATGTCACTTCTGAGTCAGAAGGTTACTGGTACAACTCTCACTCCACATTTTAGTCTACACTTCCCAGTGGTTAGTCTTTCTGGAAGCTTAGCAGCTGCTAAATGGGACCATTGATGTTGAACAAGAGGAGAAGCAGCAGCAATGCGGACAGCCAGCACAGACTAGGTGGGCTGAATGGCCACTCCTGTGACATTAATTACTCAATACTGCTCTATCTCAAAGACCTGCAGTTTTCAGAGGCTGCCTTCTTCATCCCATCCACTGGGAGTAGGAAGCCTCCATGAGTCCCAGCAGCCTGCAATATGACACAATCAGAGTCAACCTGCCTAGTTTAAGATTTAGAAAGTCTGGCTGTTAACTATCAATCAGTATTAATGGCTGCATTCTCCAGGGCGATGCCTCTATCAATCAGAGAACAATTGCTGACCAATCAGCATTCTCCTCTTATGCAGTGTAATTGTTGGTTTTCTCCTTGAATGTGTATTCGCGCAGAAGTCCTGATGAGTACAAGTTGAAAAGCTTCAACAAAGTGTGGGGTTTTTTCTCAGCAACATTCAAAAATCTGTTCCCTGAACTTGTATATTCCTGTACCATTGCTAGTTCCCTGCTGTGAGCAAGCCCGAGCTCCATAAATACAAAATTCAGGTTAACACAATGGTACTGAGGGAGAGCTGCACTGATGGATATGCTATTCTTCAGTTGAGATATTAAATATGCCTCAACTGCCCTCTTGGATGAATGCAGAAGGTGCCTCCACACCAGGTTGAAGAAGGCCAGGTTATTCTCCCCAGTGCCTCAGAAACATCCTAAAATACATTACACCACTTTTCAGCAGCATCCTGCATCCTGATCAACATCGAGTCCCATATTTTATTGCCCTGAGTTCATCCATCACAAAGAGGCAAGAGGCCACTGTAACCAAAAGTAGAATTGCCAACAAAAGTCCATGCTGAATTCAGCAGAGATCTGGAATCAAATATGGAACTTTCCTGTTCCATATTCTGCGAAAAACAAGCTGAATCATTAAAGTAACCGATTGTAATATTTTTCAACGATTAATTCTAATTTGAAAGAGCCATAAAGAAAGATTAAATTAGTAGCAGTGCTTTAGATTTTGTATCACAAAGAAAAAACATTATCCAGTTACAGTGCCTGGACAGAAACAGAGAGACACCAGATGGTATCTGTGTTCAGTGTGGATGATGAACAGAACATGTGATTTAGCAGAAGAAGGGTGAAGTAAACGTGTGATAGCAGATGATTCACTGTTTCAGCAACATAAAAGAGTTGAGATAATGCCAGTACACTGGGTGATAATTTTTTTTTAAAATTCTCCTATTCTGTACTTTTTAAAGTCATCTGTGCAGAAGAGGCCATTTGACCCGTCATGCCATTGCTTGTTCTAACTTGCCAGCTGGAGCTCTAATTTGAAATATATTTGCCCCAATCTTGTAGCCTCTGATTTTATTTCTTTTCAAATGCTTATTCATAGATTAACCAAGAATTTACCACACAGAAATCAGCCCAGCTAATCTGTGCTGGAACAAAAGCAAAATATTGTGGATGCCGGAAATATGAATTAAAAACAGAAAGTGCTAGAAATCCTCAGCAGGTCTGGCAGCACCTGTGAAGACAGAAACAGGGTTAAAGTTTCACAACACGGCCTTTTATCATCTGGAGTTTAAGCTCCATATAAGTCTTGCCCTATTTCATCTAATCGTACTAACACAATTTTCCATTCCTTTCTCCTTCATCTATTTATCTGGATTCCCCCTAAATATAGCAATGCTTTTTTTTTGCCTCAAGCACTCTATCAGTTCCCAATCCAATTGCCTTTAAGGGTGATTTAATGATCACTGTCTCAGGTGGCACTTGTAACCTCAGTGTCATACACTACCCAGGAAGAAGGACAGAATGTGCCAGCATTGGAAAATGAGAATGAAAACTCATTAATGTACTTTCAGAAACAGCTTGTGCAGAAAGAGAGAAAGAGAGATCAGAGATCAGTATTGTCCTGAAATAAAATGTTGCACAACTGACAGAGTAATTCAAAAGATCACATTAAAAAAAAATGAACTAGTGTCAGTGATGCATGCAGACCAATTCAGAGGTAGAGAGCACAGATTCTGTTCAAAATAGTTGGAAAACTCAGAAGGTGGAGTCCAAGATTTACAGAAGGAGGTAACTGTATGTTGCACAAGAAAGGCTTGTATTTGTCGAGTCAAATAAAGACAAAATTCTACAGATGCTAGAAATCAGAGACCAACACAAAGTTTGATGTAAACACTCTGATATCCAGTTCAACTCGTGTTGCTAAAAGCTGTTGGCTCAGATTGCGCAGTTATGAAGATGGCAAATCTACCAGTGTTCACCATCATTACAAAACTGTGAAACTGACAGCAACGTCTGCCATCCACACATGTCCCGCTGAAGAAAGAAATCCTCCTCCACAGGGTGCACTGCTAAAGTCCTCGTGGATGATAATCTCTCGGAATCACATGAATTGATGTGAAGTTCTACTTTTTATGTCCAAAACTCATAGTAAAACCCCTGAAAATGTGATTCCGTATTGAATGAGGTGTAATTGGTTTTTCAAGGTACGTTAAGCTAATGAACACTGGACATGAAGAAAATGCTTCCACTTACAGAAGAGACTAGGACCTGGTTGGGCACAGCCTCAGAGGAAAGAGATGACCCTTTAGAACTGAGATGAGGAGAAATTTCTTCAGCCAGAGGGTCATGAATCTGTGGAACCCATTGCCGCAGAAGGCTGTGGAGGCCAAGTCATTGAATGCTTAAGACAAAGATAGATGGGTTCTTGATTAGTAAAGGGATCAACAGATATGGGAAGAAGGCTGGAGAATGAGGTTGAAAACATATCAGCCATGATTGAAAGGGCAGAGTAGACTTGATGGGCCAAACGGCCTAATTCTGCTCCTATATCTTATGGTCTTATGTCTAAAACAAACTCTGTGGCCCTGATAATCTAACTTACATTTGTGGAATCTGAAATGCTCCCATTATGATAAAACATCCGTAGGTTTTCAATATAATTAAAATGTTATAACTTTTCAAATTACATTGCGGCTTCCATCTTAATCCTAAAGGATGGGTTTTCTAATCCTTATTTTTCTCCTTCCATAATATTATCTAAAAATGAGGGTAATCAGTACATTTTGCATCCTACAGTGCTGGTTCAGAAAATTCTTCGTTGTGATTGACTGCTTGGCTTGCTTGAAGGCATTTCTAATGCTGAATGTCAGACATCTGATATAGTTGGTGCCAGAATTAAATTAACCTCGGGAAAGGTGAAATCCTTGTCACAGAGATCACTTTACTATTGACTGCAAAATCCAAGTTGTCATATATAAAGATTAAAGAAACATATTTTACGACAAACTGTGATGAGTGATATAAGCCATCTTACAGCTTGAGATCAGATATTGAAGTAGGTTTTTAATATAAACTACATAGGTGCTGATTCTTTTCAAGGACAGTGACCATTGCAAATGTTGTTAAGAAAACATTGGTTACTTTTAAATTTTAGGACAACTTTATGGGGACCAAGTGAAACTAATGTCCAGTTTTGCAAGGCAATAGCAATGTCGCCCATTTATGACATCAATTTTACAAACGCAAAATACACAGAAAAACAATTAACTTTCCACACACCCCTCCCCCAACAAACAATTTTATTGTCTTGTATTGGTTAAGCTAATCAGCAGCTGTAACAAAATACCAACAGAACACAATGAATGTCCAAAATGCATAAATAGACAAAATGGCTCGAATCACCCCCAGTGGAGAAATCATTTTACAGTTTGGATGTTTTAAAAATACAACCAAGCTTAGAACCACAGTTTGTCTCCCTCCCCAGCCATTTCCAAACCCGAACAGCACCAAACATACTCAGTCTTACCAGAATACCTGCTAGAGTGTTGCCTCTTAAAAATTATTTCTTTTTAAAAAACAATAATAAAATATAAACAAAAGGTCAGTAATATTTGCATTCAGTGATTACTTAATACCATACTTTTCCAGACAATTCCCTCTAATAGGAGACCCTTTTTTTTTCCGCTGTTCAAGGACATGAAAATATTTGCCCAATTCTTTGGCTCTTGACACTTTTTCCTCGTGGCTGAATTATAAAATTCCCTTGGTACAAAACAAACGTAGAAACACCTTTTTATTTTGTTTATTTGTTTCTTTTGGGAGGCTCCAGACTGTCTCCTATGATGCAGATCCAATGGAATCAGAATGAAAAGTCACATAACCCGAAGAAGCGGAAGGCGAGCTTAAAAAACTGTTTGTGCTTCCTTTGCTTTCCACTTTGGTGAGATTTTCCTGATTGTCCCAAGTGACGCATAGGTCTGTCCGACAGTTTCTGGAGGCTTCCTGCTTAATGTTGGGGTTGGCCTGACTGTTTAGGGCCTGAATGTAGGTCTCTGGGTTCATCTGAGCTGCAGTAGGGTCACTGGGGCAGGTATTTGCCAAGTATTCCTTGGGCTTGCTGATCCCTGGGAAGATGCATCCCCTGTCCTCTGATAACCGACGGAGAACATGGGGCTCCTTCTCAAAATTAGTTAAGGGAAAATGGGAAAACATGACTGAATACTGTTCACATTTTTCTGGGATTAGTGTTATGGAAGATGATTTCAGTGGGGTTTTCATTGGACTAGGAAGAGGAGTTTCATCTATGTAATTTATTATTTCATCACGGCTGAAACATTTCAAGTCATCACCGAAATACTCCTCCCTGGTCTGTTGCTTTAGAGATATAACACTATCCATAGACTTCCTTCTTTTATGGAAAGAAGCACATTCATCGTGTTGGGAAATCAGACTGCTTCGCCTCCTCTCATGCCTGGGGGAGCTGTAGTGTAGTACCCCTGTGATGTCCTCTGAAGACCCCCATCTGTGAAGATAGGAAGGAATTGGGCCTGTCGCCCACATTTCTGACTCATCATGGGAGTAGCGTCTTGTTGGAGGAACCTAAGAGACATAAAAAAAAGGCAGTCTGAAGTAAACTAAACGTCCTCTCCTGTTAAATTGACAGATTTGGCAAACGCTACCACTTACTTCCATCTAATATGCACTCATGGCAACAGAGGATCAACCCTATTTCTACAACCTCCCATTCTCAAAGTGCAGCAATCCGTCAGATAGCCAAACACCATCTCCCATCATTTCCAGGATATCCTGTATGATAGTACAGACATGTCCATAATCTTCACCTGTTCCAATGTAGTTGATGACATAGGATGTAAGGGGACCATTGCATTTATATCTGGTGAGAATCTTGATATATAACATGCAGCATTGGGCTGAATGCCTTGACCAGTCAAGTCCCACATTACACACTTGACCCAGATTGACACTTCAATGTTGTAACAAAGGAGTGGTGCAATGTTAAGGGATGAGATGTTAAATCAAGGTTCTGCCTGTCCTAACAAGGTGTAGAGCTGGATGAACACAGTAGGCCAAGCAGCATCAGAGGAGCAGGAAGGCTGGCGTTTCGGGCCTAGACCCTTCTTCAGAAATGTCAGCCTTCCTGCTCCTCTGATGCTGCTTGGCCTGCTGTGTTCATCTAGGTCTACACCTTGTTATCTCAGATTCTCCAGCATCTGCAGTTCCTACTACTTCTGCATGTCCTCACAGGTGGCTAAAATAGAGCCCAGGGCATTACATCTGTAACATTGCCTTGTAACACAGGATTGCAGGTGGCAAAAGTACCAATGGTGAAATAACAATGCTTTTCCTTCAACTACAGATATGGTCATTGTCACATTAGTGTTTCTTTTCTGGCATGCAATGCACCTAAACAAGTTCCTTAGAAGATATATATCATGCTGATTGCAAGATGGCACTACTTTGAATACCAACTGCAATGAAATATTATTCTTGCTTCTGGATGCTAATTGTATTTTTCATTACTTGGATCCTATCAGCCAGCAAACAAATCATGCCACTGTTTGCTCCCAGTACATTGTTTTCAGACGCATTATGAAAAGAAAATGAGCATAAATCAACACAGCATAGACAGAAAGTAGAATACTTCACAATAAAATAAGTGGACAAATTTGACATTGAGCCAAAGAAAATAGGAGAAAGGGTGACAAAAGAAGGCAGGCATTAAGAGAATCTTAAAGAAATGGAGGTGGATAGTGGAGATTAAGGGAGGGAATTTGAGAATCTAAATTCTAAACAGCTGAAGGCATGGCCATTGGAACACAGGGATTGGGGGATGTGTGAAGGAATCCAGAGACTGCATGTCAATAAGACCGCATTTCAAAAGGAAATACTTGTGAAGCACTTCAGAGCATTCTCAGAATATGACAAGTGATAAAGAGATATGTTAAGTAAATAAATTAAAGTTGTTCAGCTGCTATGAATTTATTAAAAGTGTTGGCCCAAAAAATATGACAGGAGTACATACATTTATGTAGCACCTTTCACAACCTCGGGATATCCCAGAAAACTTTACAACCGTTCAATTACCTCTGAAGTGTAGTCACTGCTGTAATGTAGGAAACACGGTAGCCATTTTGTACAGAGCAAAAGCCCACAAACAACAATTTTGCAATGACTACATGATGTATTATAGTCATCTTGGCTGACGGATGGTGACACACACACAGAACAACCTTCCTGCTCTTCTCCAATTTAATGACTTGGGACGTATTTTTGTCTGCAGTGAGGACAGACAGTGCCTTGATTTAGCATCTCATCCTTTGACACTGCAGCACTCACTCGGCACCGCATTGAAGAGTCAGTCTGTATTTAGTTATACTCAAGTCTCTCAAGTTGGACTTAATTCACATTTCCATGGAGTAGGTCCTAAAGAAAGGCTCTCCTTTTGTTTAGTTGGAAATGATGTAGTATGAGGACATGTTCCTTTCATTTGTGCAGGACAGGACCAAGTTTGTGAATAGATGCGGCTTCTAGCATGTGTAAGTGAGCCATACTGGGAGACCAACCGATTATGTTACATTTCTCTGCTCCTCCAATCGGAGCCTCTTGGTTGTCTCTTACCCCTCCACTAATTATGAACAAACCTTCAGGCTGGAATTTTCATCCTAAACCTCTCCACTACTTCTTTAGGATAATCCCTAAAACCTACCTCTCTCACCAAGCTTTCAATTACCTGTCCTTGTATCTCTTTCTGTGGCTTAGTGCTACATTTCCATTCCAGTGAAGATGTTTTGCAATGCCAAAGGGACTACATAAATGCATGTATTGATTATTAAGATGATAAATTTCCAGAAGATTCAGTACAGAACTGAACCCACAGATCAGACTGGTTCCACATTCAAATCCTGGTCTCTGTTAAATTAGCTGATCTCAGCCATCAGAGCAGTTCTGTTGGTCAAAACATCCTCAGGGAAGGGAACGTTGGTCAGGACTTTTACTCTTAATCACAAACTGATATATGCATGTCTCGAGACTCCACAATAATGGTCATGACATAATGCCCCACCCCTTGATCCCACTGTCAAGGCTAAAATGTGAAAAATGCATATTGGGCACAGTGCCAGAGTGCAGATACTGGAAGCAATCAGAAAGACAAATTATTTGCTAACCTTTATTGCAAAAGTGTTGAAGTATTAGAGTAAGTATGTATCACAGCAATTATATAGGACACTAGTGACATTACCTATGCAGCATAATGTGTAGTTTTGGTCTCCTTTCCTAAGGAAAGATATCTTTGCTAGAGTTTTTACATTTTATTCACTTGTGGGATGTGGGGGTTGATGACAAAGACAGTTTCATTGCCCTTGAGAAGGTGGTGATGGGATACTTTAGTGAACTGCTGCTGTCTTAGTGATCTAGGTACACTCACAATGCTGAAGTTCCAGGATTATGACCCAGAGATGATCAAATTGGGATGATATGTGGCTTGGAGGGGAAGTTGCTCAAGGTGCTGTTCCTTTGTACCAACTGCCATTATTATAGGCAGTGGTAGTAAGTATTTAAGGTAGTGGATGTAGCGTTGTTCAAGTGGGCTGCTATGTCCTAGATAATCTCAAACATCTTGAGGATTGTTGGAGCAGCACTGTGCCTGGAAATATTATATCATTTTCCCGACATGCTGCTGAAATAGCTCTAGGAGTCTGGAGATGAGTTACTTGCCAGAAAATACAGTGACTGCCACTGTTGAGTTTCTGCTTAATGATGACTCCCAGTATGCTAATGGTGAAGAATTCAGCGATAATAAATACCATTGAATTTCACAGGAAGGTGATTAGACTCTCTCTTGTTAGAAATGGCCATTCCCTAGAACTTAGGTGGCACAGATGTTACTTGCTGCATGTAGGCGTGGGTTGCTCCATTATCTGAGGAACCTCGAATGGTATTGGACATTTTTATTTCTATTCATTTGCAGTATGTGGGTGTCGCTGGTTGGCCAGCATTCCTTGCCCATCCCTCCTTGCCCTTGAGAAGGCAGAGACGAGCTGCCTTCTTGAATCGATGCAGTCCACCTGCTGTGGGTTGACTCACAATGCCATTGGGGAGAGAATTCCAGGATTTTGACCCAGTGGCAGTGAAGGAACAGTGATATTTTTCCAAGTCAGGTTGGTAAGTGGCTTGGAGGGGAACTTGGAGGTGGTGGTGTTCCCATATATCTGCTGCCCTTGTCCTTCTAGATGAAAGTGGTCGTGTGTTTGGAAGGTGCTGTCTGAGGATCTTCGATGAAATTCTGCAGTGCACCTTGTAGATAGTACACACTGCTGCTACTGAGCATCGGTGGTAGAGGGAGTCAATACTTGTGGATGTGGTGCCAATTAAGTGGCCTGCATTCTCCTGGGTGGTGTCAAGCTTCTTGAGTGTTGTTGGGGCTGCACTCATCCAGGCAACTGGGGAGTATTCCATTACACTCCTAATTTGTGCCTTATAGATGGTGGATGGGCTTTGAGGAGTCAGGAGGTGAGTTAGTCACCACAGTATTCCTAGCTTCTGACCTGTTTTTGTAGCCACTGTGTTTATGTGGTGAGTCCAGTTGAGTTTCTGGTCAATGATAACCTCCAGGATGGTGACAGTGGGGGATTCAGTGATGATAATACCATTGAATGTCAAATGGTGGTGGTTATATTGTTTCTTACTGGTGATAGTCATAGCCTGGCATTTGTGTGGCACGAATGTCACTTGCCACTTGTCAGCCCAAGCCTGGATATTGTCCGGATCTTGTCGCATTTGAACAAAGACCGCTTCAGTATCTGAGGAGTTGCGAATGGTGCTGAACATCGTACAATCATTGGCAAACATCCCCACTTCTGACCTTATGATGGAGGAAAGGTAATTGTTGAAGCAGCCAAAGATGGTTGGGCCGAGGACGCTACCTTGAGGAAGTCCTGCAGAGATGTCGTGGAGATGAGATATTGACCTCCAACAACCACAACTATTTTCTTATGTTTCGTGTGACTCCAGCCACCGACGGGTTTGCTCCCTGATACCCACTGATTCCAGTTTTGCAAGGGCATAATTGCATAATGCATTATTATCAGTGAGCATTCACTTCTGACCTTACTGTAGAGGGAAAATTATTGATGAACTTGTTGCAGCTGGTTGGGCTCAAGACTCTACCCTGAGGAAGTCTGGCAGTGATGTTCAGAGGCTGAGATAGTTGGCCTCCAATCACTGAAACAGCCTTTCATTGTGCTAGAATAATTCCAACTAATGGAAAGTTTCTCCAAATCTCATTGACTTCAATTTGACTAGCTGGTCAAATGCTGTCTGGAAGGGCAGTCAGTCTTGCCTCATCTCAAGGATTCAATTCTTTTGTCCATGTTTAGACCAAGGCTTTCATGAGGTCAAGAACTGAGCAGTTCTGATGAAAGTCAAACTGGGCATCATTGAGCAGGTGAGTAAATGTGGCTTTATAGTACTGTTGACAACAGCTTTTATTACTTTCCTGACGATGAGAAGAAATTGGCCAGATTTTATTTATTCTGACTTTTTGTGGACAGGGTATACCTAGTCAACTTTTGTCAGGT